GCTCGCTTGCTCCAGTGGGTGACCGCATTTAGCTAAAACTCTACACCTAACCTGAACATTGCTCGTCCGGTTGCCCAACCAGATTCGTGCAATGTTGCGTAGACAATGGTGTTTAAACACTGTCAGTCTATCTTTATCCTGTTATCTTATTGGTTAAGTTTCTGAGCCGCATAGCAGAACTGGCCGAACTGCCGCGGCAAATACTCGACCCTTCACGAACAGTCGGATGTCGCGGCGGCACCACAGATGTCCCAAGTTGGCAAATGCTAATCGGGCTTGCTGTATGCTAGCTGACACTTCTTTCGTGATGCGTCCACTGGGTAAGATATAACTGCCCAAATAACAAAACTTGTCCACTTGTTCCATTACTTTCCCAGTTAGAGTGAGGCTGAGTGCTGCTCTAATCCAGCCTTGTAGCAACATTTTACACTTTGAAGGTGCAAAACATATACCGGACATGGCTACAGTGTCACTCAAACCATCTAGAAAAGCTTATAACGTACCTGGATCTTCATTTAACAGCAAAAAGTCGTTTGTATACTCCAGATCAGACAGCTTGTTATCGCGGAGCAAATCGACGCCGCTCTCTGCGCACGATAGGACTGTTTCAAAAACTATATCTATGGAAAAGTTCAATAGAAACAGGGAGTAGGAGAGGACAACCTTGACGAACACCACTTTCCATGATGAACTCCGGAGATAAAGTGCTGTATGATCGGACTCGGCTCAGTATAAAGGGATCATATAAATAAAATAAACCGCCCGGGCACACCCTTCAGAGAGGCCACTCCAGAGTTTACAGTGGTTAACTGAGTTGAAAGCCGCTTTCAGATCGAGCAAGATAGAAATTTTGGGTCTACGAAAATATTGTCGGCGCTCCAGAGTTTGGCGAAGAGTGAAGGTGTGGTCAATACAATCTAGATCAGGTCTAAAACCATTGTTCACGTGCTGCAAACAATCGACGGAGCATGATGCAAGCAAGAAGTTTGGAGACAATGTTGATTGAGCTAATTCCTCCATAGTTTCCACAAGAGGACCTGTCACCTTTCTGGTAAATCGGTATGATGATCGATTCACACCATTCTGTTGGAGCCTGTTGCCTCTTTCATATTGAGTCCAGGATTTAGTCAACTCCAAAATCAGGGCTGACACTCCATTCTTAAAAGCCAAGGGGGACAGCCCATCTATGCTGGAGACCTTATGCCTTTTGAGATAACGTATTTCCCGAGAAACTTTCATTTTAGATGGAGAACTGAGATCAACTGGCAATATTTGCCCAGTTGGTGTAGGTATATGGATATCTTGTGACGAGGGTCATGTGAACTATGCCTTAAAATGTCCTGTCCATTGTTCAAGACTGCGTTGCTGAATATGATTCAGCCAGACTCCTTCATTATATCACTTATGCCTACTTTCCTTGGGCCCGTACTCCCAATTAAACGAAAAAGATAACGACTATTACTGATGGCCGCATCCCCCTCAATCTCTCTACACTTCCCTATTCATCACTTCTCGCGATCATTCCTCAGGCTGTGGATGAGCTAGCGCGCTTTGTAGAATTTGGTATCATCAGGAACGACTTTGCGGACGTCTAGCGGGGCAGCCGAAGTCGACGAGATACACCGTTTATGCTTGACCGTGCGCTAGAGTCCGCCAATGTTTTTATTGATGTTTGCATGGCCTCGTTCGCTGAGGTTATATCGTGGGTAGTCATTGCCAGTGGCTTCGTTGCGGTTGTTTACCAGGCGTAAGAAAACTGGTCCGTATCCATAGGTGTTGACCAGCGAGAGCGGCAGTCTTCAATAGACACCCTCCAGCGGTAACTGATGGCAACGTGGTGGATTTGGGTCCAGTGCTGTGAAGAGGTCGGCGGTGTCCTCTCTTGCACGAGAAGTTCGTGCTTGACAGGAACAGTTAGTGGTCCACGAAAAGTCGAAATAGGCGATCTCCATTGTTCGTCTGGTTAGTTGGGGGTGCCACGTAGACCGCCGGCGACAACTACGACTTCTGTTTACTGTACAATCTGGAGTACTTGAGAAAGATGCCTGTAGAATCCATCCTTCGTTTCAGATGTACTGCAACC